TAAGATGCTGTGTTGGTTCATGTGTTCAATTATTATTGCACAATTTCTAATGTATTGCTCTATACTAGGTCCCTGAGTTTGTCCCACAAGAAATGTAAGGCCCCGCTGACTTTAGGGCAGCCCCTAATCTAGTTAGGAAGACAAAATATGCCCAGCAGTGAGGTAACAATACAAGTGTGATTAAATGACGAGAGAGTTGGATAATGTTACTTCTCCCTGGCAGCCCCTCTCTGGGGAGTCTGCTCTTTAACCCTCTGGAAGTTCTTTACTGGAAACAGCTCACTGTGGAATTTCCTCAATTCTATAAGTCATGATAAGGAGGCATTTTCTTTCTTTCTTTTTATGGGGAGGAGGTATTCCCTGGCACTCTCCCTCCTTGTGAAGCAGTCAGCTGCTGTGGGGAACCCCACAGGCCTTGCCTGAATGCACTGGGTATTTCTTGAGTAGCTGTTGGCTCCACCTAAGGTTTTCTCTGCTAATTACAATAATGTAGAAGTAAGGGTACGGGGTATGGGAGTGGGCTGAATCTACTTCTCTCATAGCCCCCCAGTCCTCTTCTCATCTCCAAATTTGTCTTTAGTTTATAGTGGCCACAAATTCCTTTTGCCGAAGGCAAAATAACCAGGTTCTCAAATTGAGCCTGGTGAGTAGCTTTTTGGAACCTGAGTAACTTTTTGGAGGAGTCTTTAAAAATGTGTTTTTTTCAGAGTAGCTAAAAAGAGGACATATTAGAAATACCAAAGTGCTATATAAAGAGCTGGCTTCTGGAAAGGAACATTTAGGACTGAAGAACATGTACAAAAATTTTGAAAATACTTGTTTAAATGTGGCCTTAAGAGGGCCTCCCTGGTGGCACAAGTGGTTAAGCACCACACTATAAAGCAATCCACAGCCTCTGCAGCGTGGGTTCAATCCCTGGCCAGCCAGGGAGAAACCCACATGGTGAGGCAGACCTCTTCTCTCTCGCCTGCTGCTCCCCTCAGCAGTGTATTTCAGTCAGTCTGCCTGTTCTGTTCCCTGCTCTGTCTCTGGTGGATTCTCTCACCCCCTGCATCTCTGGCCTGTACCCCAGCTCTTGCATAAATAAATAAATCTTTAAAAAAACAAAATAGGGCCTCCCCTGTTGGTGCAAGTGGTTGAGCCCCGCACTGTGAAGCTGTCCTCGGCCTCTGCAGCGCCAGCCGGCAAGGATCCCACATGGCGCGGCAGACCTCTCCTGTCATGCCTGCTACTCCCCTCACCAGTGTATTTCGTCAGCCTGCCTGTTCTGTTCCCCACTCTGTCTCTGGTGAATCCTCTCACCCTCCCACACATCTGGCCTGTACCCTGGTTCTTGTATAAATAAATAAATAAATCTTTAAAAAAATAAAATAAAATAAATGTGGCCTTAAGAAGTTAGAAGCAATAAATCAAACAAACTGGAGGAACTTTACACATGACTCGATCTTGAATTCATACTAAAATAGTTCTATAATAAAATACAACAACCAAATGCTTAATTACAAAGATGTTCCTTTTAGTGTTATTTATAGTGATAAAATATGGAAATAATTTTAATGTTCTATAGATAAATGAAAATTATTTACTGATGTTAAATACACTTAACAAAACATTAGGTTTATGAAGAATTCATAGTGGAATTTATAATGTTAAGTAAGTGTGAAGTAAAATGTAGAATGTTTTTATTGTTTAGAATAGGTACATATATACATAGAAAAATTTATTAAGAAAGTACTATATATTAAAATGTTCCCAGCCTATTTCTCTACTAAAAGTAACTTCTGTTTCATTTTTATTTTTTCCCAGAAATTTTGAGTGAGCATCGCTTTCATAGTCAATGAACATTACTACTATGAAGAATTTATATCTAATATTTAGTGCTATGAGAATTAATTGAAACACTATGACATAAATATAATGAATTCTTATTGCATTTTTGATGTAAACATTGTTCGTATTCTTGAAAAGGTGAAATGTACTTCATTTAACTTTAAAACCATATACATTAGTAAAGAAACCATGTAAATGTTTGTTTTCTCTATCTCTGTGATATAGGCTTTTTTTTTACTTTTGGCACTTATATAAGGCAATTGAAAATCTCTTCTCTGTTATTGTTTGTTTATCACATTTTCACAAATCCCCGTTGGAACAATTAGTTGAAATCATGGTAATGCTAAGAAAAATCTAATTCTCCTTCCAGTAACTTTTCTGGGCTTAAAAAAAAAAAATCAACACTAGGCTATGTAATCTAAAAAAAAAAAAAAAAAACCTCCTCCAGGGCAAAAGATTAAATTAGGAATTCTGGTTTAGCTGCCCAGCAAGACTGACATAGGATAGCCTTGCTACTGTTACAATGGAAACAAAAGTGGGAAAAGAATAGAAAATCCTAGGCAGTTCATAATTAGCTAAAGTGCCTGGGTGAATTCAGCATCTTCTATGTAGGTTAAAAACACACAGGGCACCAAATTATCTAGAAAAGGCCACTTACTGTCTAAGGTTTTAAGTCAACATTTCTAAGTTGGCGCCAGAGGTAACTACCTGGCAATTCTATTCCTGTAAAAAAACATCTAAATCTTTTTTATACAGTTGAAGCAGCAAGGCTGAGGAGTCTCTTTCATGTGTACTAGTGAATTCCAAGTGCTTCAGTTTAGAATTAAGTCACTTAACCTCAGGGTTCCAGTCAGTCTGGAACCCTAAAGTAAGCCTTCTCCTGGGTGGCAACTTGTGTAGAGAAAAAAGAGCTTGAAAACTCAAAGCACCCTACAAATGTAAGGGCTTATTATCTTTCTTCCCCAACTATGAAGCAGTCTAGAGAAATTAACCCTCTCATTTGTTAACCTCAATAACAGGCTTTAACAGATCTGTAGCCATGGATGGCTCAGATAATTGTCCTAATTAGTTTGGTAGGGAGGCAGGGGCAGGGGGGATTTGGAGCTCAAGTAATTAAGCCTAAATTAAAAGAAACAAAAAAGAACAGTTTATGCCTTACAGATTTGACATGCGGATTCCAGATGTTTTGCAAGAAATATTGCTAAGATGTTTAGGGCACTTTTTGTTGTTAAGAAGAGGGTTGAAAGAGAAGACCTCAAGGCAGAATATGGTAAAAAAAAAAAAAAAAAAAAATAGGAAGATGCTATTTGTGTAGAGTCTCTCTCTCTCTCTCTCTCTGTGTGTGTGTGTTCAAAATGAAGACTAGCAGAAAACTAACAATAGGGTCTTGAACTCCCCCTAGCATGTGAGTCTTGCAGCAGTAATTTCTGAGTTGGCTTGCTTTTACATTTGCTGGCAGACAAGTCACCCCTAGTTGGAAGTTACTATTCCTTGTAGTCTTCCTCAAGAATTCTAAATTTAAAACGTTCATGCAAATTCCCTGGTGTGCCAGGAAAGGTTGTTAGACTTATGCTCTCACTTAGAAACAGATAGATACTTATGCTAGGAATAGAGCCACACTTTTTTACTTCAATCATATATACCAAATCCTTTTTCAGAAAATGGTAAACATGGGAAAAGGAAGGGAGTTTCAGGCTCTGGGTACCAAAATATTACAGACATGCAGGAAATGACTTTTCAAATACAGCGTGTAAACCTGTCATTTCATGGGCTGGTCTGTGGGAGCAGGGATGACATAGAAGACATTCCTACTTTCTGGGAAGGCTGTCCTGGAGGGTGGACCAACCGCTGAGCCCAGGTGCTAGGATTCTAAACTAAACTGTAATTTGAAAGATTTGAGAAAACCCAGTGAAATCTGAGGCAAATCTGTGGTTTAAAGTTATCGCACTTTGTTTAAAAATATGTAGACTTTAAAAAATAAATGGAAAACTAAAAAAATATATTTTTTAAGTCTATTATTTTTTTTAGATTTATTTATTTATTTATACAAGCACTGGGTACAGTCAGAAGTGCGGGAGGGTGAGAGAATTCACCAGAGCCAGAGCAGGGAGCAGAGCAGGCAGAAGGACCGAAGTACACTGCTGAGGGGAGCAGCAGGCGGCAGGAGAGGTCTGCATGCCATGCGGGACCCTCACCCCGTTGCCCAGGGATGGAATCGGTGCTGCAGAGGCTGTGGGCAGCTTTGCAACCCAGCGCTCAACCGCTGTGCCACTGGGGAGGCCCTAAAAAAATAATTTTAGAGAGGGATATTTTCTCAGCAATAAAGGCTTTTTTTTAAAAAATACTCAACTATGTGATCAATAAGCCATTGAGGCATTGGAATATGCTTTAATCTTCCTAAACATTTATGTATTGACTTTATTTTTATATTAATCTAATTGACCTAAAAAATGTTTCTGAGATATTTAACAAATGCTGTTTCTCTGGTTAGTGAACAGGATTTGAATTCATTCACTCTCCAAATAATTGATTTCTGAGTGCTGTCTAGGAGTAAGGTGTTCTTTGAATCAAACAGACACAAGTTAACAAATCAATTGTTTAACTAGGGTGCTCCTTCCTCCCCTCTGGTGTAGTGAAGCAACACCCTGGGCCTGGAGACAGGCCGCCTGCCTTTCTCAGCTGTCACCTAGAGCAAATCACTTATCTTCTCTGTACCTCAGTTTTCTCTCCTGAAAATTAGCATTGGTAATAGCACTTCCCTCATCGTATTAAATCAGTTAATAAATGTCAAGCATCTAGAATAATGCCTGGCACATAAGTTCTTAATAAATGTTGGCTATTGATTTGAGACTAAGTCTTGGCAAAAGTGATGTACAAGTACTGATGCAAAGATAAAACAGGGGCCTCCCTGGTGGCGCAAGGGGTTAAGCACTGTGAGCTATCCACAGCTTCTGCAGCACGAGTTTGATCCCAGGCGGCCAGCGAGCTACCCACATGGCACAGCAGACCTCTCCTGACTTGCCTGCTGCTCCCCTTGGCAGTCAGTCTGCCTGTTCTGTTCTCCACTCTGTCTCTGATGAATCCTCTCACCCCCCCAGAACTGGCCTGTACCCCAGTTCTTGTATGCATAAATAAATCTTTTAAAAAAGATAAATAAAACAAGGTGCATAAAGGAAGGAATACTTGAACTGATTCCTGGAGGACAAAGATTGGGTTCCTAAGTAAAAGGAGAAGGGCCAGGACAAGCAAATGGTACAAGCGAAGGCAAGAATTGGGAAACCAAATAGCATATCTGGGGAATGGTAAATGATTCATTAGAGCTGGATTAAGAGATGAGTCAGAACCAGGTAGAGAACACTCTGGGTTTACTGACCAAACCTATGTGATGGAAAGTGAGGTAGAGGGCAGATTTCTGGCTTGATGGTGAGGCCACATAGCAGGTGGTGTGGTTTTTGACATGATGCATTTGGTTTTGGACACAGAAGCTCTGAGAGGTCTAGGAGACCAAAGCAGGGATGTATACAAATCTGGAGCTTTATCAGAGCATTTTGGCAAGGCTAACAGTGTAGGAAACCACCAGATTGTGGTAGCCATGAATGTGGCTGAAATTGTCCAGAACTAATATGGAGAATGAGCATAACCTGACATTCCAGGACAGTTCAGAGGAGTCGGAGAGATAGAGAACCAGGACAGTATGTGACTCCCGTAAGAAACTAAAGGAATAAAAAGAATTCCACATTAAGTAGGATGTTTTTGACTGAAAATGACAGAAAACAACTCAAACTGATTTATATCATGATTTATTGGCCCATTTAATCGAAAACACAAGCCTCTGAGGGATCACTCCTAAGCTCAAGGTGAGGAATTCAGCGCATCAACATTTAGCAGTTATTTTGAGTGCCTACTATGTACCAGGCATTGTTCTAGTCAATGAACACATGAGGCAAGAAGTCCCTACTCTGAGGACCATACATACTTGTGCTTATTGGTATCTGTTGAATTAAAATGCAAACACAGTGCTTCAAATTAGAAAAACAATGTGGGTGGAGATGAAGCTTCAGAATTGAATGCAAAGTCCAAAACATTTGGTGAAGATTTTAATACCTTTTTTGTAATATCTGGAACTTCTGTACTAAGTGATAATAGAGGCATGAAAGCAGCTCAGTATAGATACAAAACTCTAAAATCCAAATTACCACCAATGATACATTTTAAAATCCAGTTGTAGGTTTAAGGTAGCCAAAGTTTTTGACTTAAGAAAAATTGCTGAGTTCATTCAGATACTTGTAAAAATAATTGCATTTTCCAAATATCTCTGGTAGGGCTTTGTATTTAACTTATGTGGCAACGTGTTTTATATGTAGGTCATGTCCAAACTTGCATTATTCTATTCATATTTTAATGAAAACATAGTTGGCAATAAAAGAAAACCTCTCTCTCAGCCATTACAGTCAACTAAGTTCTATCAGTTTATTCAGACACATCACCCCACTGCACTACTGCAGCCTGTCTTTTGGACTCGACTTGTACTCTTGACACATTTTACCCACGGCTACTAGTATGATTTTGCGAAAATGAAGTTGGGTCCTTTGTTTTTATCACAATGCATTGCACCCAATAGGTGCTCTGTAAGTTTAGCATGGAATGAGATGCAGCTTCTAATCTGAGCTCTTAACTCTCAGTGCATCAGTGGATATATTGCTTAAGCTCGCTGGGTCTCTTTTCCATTCTCTAATTTAGAGATCACAAAACCTACCTCATTAGGTATTTTCCAAAATACCTGTTTTTTGGTATGTGACAGAACTTTGTGAACTCAAAATTGCAGCACGAAGGGGTAAGATGAGAAAGTTTGTAAATATGTCCAGGTGTTAATATTTTAATGGCCAAAAATTGTCAATTTTCTCAGTAATGTTGATTCTAGTTAAAATGTTTCCCATAAAACTCGATGCTATTTATACTTTACACTTAAAAATATTGCCCATAAATGCTTAGTTCTTTTCTCAGATTTTATCTATGTACAAAAGGAAGTCCTTCATAGCTGATGTGGCTTAACTTCCTTATCTTAAAGATGAGGAAACAATCAGAAACGTCAAGTGACTGGACTCACTGAAAAAAGGAAGTAACTTGAATAGAGATTTTTCCCCAACTACACAGATTTTTATAAGGATTTCTCCAGTGGGTTTTCACTAGCTGGAACAAACAGCTTCTTTCCTAAGTACCCACACAGACACTTCATCAACAAGTTCCCTGGACTGCTCTAAAGAGGGAAAAATTCCATTATCTAATGTGGTGATGGATGTAGAGTGAAGTGAAAGTCCTTTTCCAAACGGAGGTGTTTCTGTGGAAGGTTAAATAATAAAGTAAATTCATCTCTCTTCCCATTTTTGGCTTTATTTTGAGAAGAAACCCAATGAGCTACAAATAATCGAGTCACAACTACTCTAACACAATTTAGCCTCCTTCTTCCTAAGTCCTCCCTTCCCCTCACAAGTGAAATCCAGCCTGACTACTACCAGCACATCTCTCACCAAAGCTTAATAGTATGGCCACTACTTCTCCTGTTTAAAATATTGAAACAGGGCCTCCCTAGTGGTGCAGCGGTTGAGCGCTGGGCTACGAAGCTGCCTGCAGCCTCTGCAGCGTGGGTTCAATCCCCGGCCACTGGGGAGGGTCTCACATGGTGCGCAGACCTCTCCTGCCATGCCCACTGCTACCCCTCAGCAGTGTATTTCGTCAGTCTGACTGTTCTCCTCCTCTCTCTGACTCTGGTGAATTCTCTCACCCTCCCGCGCTTCTGACTGTACCCAGTGCTTGTATAAATAAATAAATCTTTAAAAAAAAAAAAATTGAAACATACACCCCTTCAAAGAAAAAGTATTTGCTTTCCCCCTCTTCTGTTACCTTTTAGAAAGAAGGCTCAAAGTACCAGTAGGGACTGACCTATCCAGTGAATTCTTATTCTCTGCCATTAGTTCACTGATCTCAGTTGGGTTGAACCAATGGGTCCTCAAAAAAGGTTAAAAAAGTTGCAGACAGTGGTTTGCTGGGCTTTTTCGGTATGAGATTTGTTATGACACTTATTTTAAAATCATGTAAATTCAGTAACTTCTGATCCAATACATGGATGCAGAATATAGATTTCTCCAGAAATCTACTTGGGAACCACCATTTCACAGACTGATGTCTTTTAATTTTTCTTAAACACCACATACGCAATGTCTGTAATTAACTCATGTCTTTTAAAGGCCTAAGAATCATGCAAAGACTGATGCAGCTTGAGGCTTCCACTTTTTATCATTCAAGACTACAAATAACTGGGCCTCCCTGGTGGCGCAAGGGGTTAAGATACAACCTATGAAGCTATCCACAGCTACTGCAGCATGAGTTTGATGCCCGGCCAGGGAGCTACCCATATGGCGTAGCAGACCTCCCCTGACTCGCCCACTGATCCCTTCAGCAGGGTATTTCAGTCAATCTGCCTGTTCTGTTCCCCATTCTGTCTCTGGTGAATCCTCTCACCCCCCACAACTCTGGTTTGTACCCCAATTCTTGTATGTATTAAATAAATAAATCTTAAAAAAAGACTATGGATAACTGCACAGGTGCCATTTTGGACTGTAGAACTCACGTCAAATATTACTATGTCTCTGACTACCACCTGCCTATTTTCTTGAGTATTACTGTATAAAAGGCATTAAGAAGGAATTGGGTAGAGAAACAAGCAGATAAGTGATTTTCAGTTAAATATGAATTTCAGATAAATGAATTTTTAGTATAAGTATGTTCCAAATACTGCATAAACAAAAAGTTACTTATGTAAAATTCCATTTTAACTGGGTGCCCTGTATTTTTATTTGTGACACCTCACAGTTCCTTGTTAAAGAACCTTATCTTACTTAACAAGGGAATTAATAGCCATAATGGGAGAAGATTTCTACTAGCTAACACAGAAGAGTACCTGAAGTGATGACAACTGCATTTCCTAAACGATGATTATATTTTGATTGGTGGAAAGGTGATTTAGGTGATAATTTCAGAATTTAAGTTTCCCAAGTTAAATTCCAAATTAATCATTTACTAGCTGAAACCCTTCGACAAGTTAATCTCTATTATACAATGAAGTTACTACTACTGCTTTACTAGTATTACGAGTAGTTGAAGATGAGAAAGATGTATACACAAGCACCTGGAACACGGGAGGCGCTCCTTAAATATAATACCCACTGATACGATTTAAAACATCACATGTCAAAGAATGTACTTGTCACAGACAAATATTCCAATGTTAATGTTATGCATTAATAGTGATACTGAATTAAGTAATTTTATTTCCATGATCTATTTACACTGTACAAACACTGTTGAAAAGCACCCTACAAGTTCACAGTACATTATAGTATATTTACTTTAAAAATATATTCCTTTATAAAAGGTTCATAGAACATTGGCATGTCAACACGTGACAAAACTCTCAAGGCATGTCACCAATTCTGTGATAGCAAGAATGCTTCCAAGTATTGTCAATTTCACAATCACAAATCACCATTTGAGTTTTAAATACATAAGTTTTAAATAAAAAATGAACTCTACAGTGGACAATTCTTATAGCAATACACATGAGTTAATTAACATGTACTTCCATGGAGATGTTGTATCACAATAATTTACAATTTTTGATTTAATCTGCCCCCAAAAACCATTTCAGCAAGTTTTGCAGTCCAGAAATGCTTGTTATTTGTTTTCTACTTTTTCTTCTTTGCTGGTTCTCCTGGTTCTACCTTGCGTTTTTTAGAAGTATGCTCATCTTTTTCATCATCTTTAAATATGAAAGGAAGAATTTTAATCAGTAAGTTAAAAAGAAACAAAAAACATGTTAGGTATTAAAATTTCATTGGCTTTGTACCAAAATCATCAACCTCACCAACTGTCTCAAAGTTTCCCAATACAAACCACAAATTAACTCAGAACCCTGATATGGAAAGTTAGATAAAGGAGAGAAATGGGTGATGAAAAGATACAAACCTCCAGTTTTAAGATAAATAAACCCTGAAGATGTAACGGCAGCATGGTGACTATAGTTGACAATAATGTGTGGTACTTCTGAAAGCTGCTTAGAAAGCAGATCTTAAAATTCTCACCTTAGGGCCTCCCTGGTGGTGCAAGGTGTTAAGCACAGCACTATGAAGCTATCCGCAGCCTCTGCAGCACCAGTTCGATGCCTGGTTGGCCAGGGAGCTACCCACACGGGGCAGCAGACCTCTCCTGTCTCGCCTGCTTTTCCCCTCAGCAGTGTATTTCAGTCAGTCTGCCTGCTCTGTTCCCCACTCTGTCTCTGGTGAACCCTCTCCCCTCGCACACCTCTGGCCTGTACCCCCAGTTCTAGTATGCATAAATAAAATAAATCTTAAAGAAAAAATTCTCACCCTAAAAAAAAAAATATTGCAACTATGCATGGTGATGGATGGTAACTAGATGTATTGTGGTGATCATTTCTCAATATATACATATAATCATTATGTAGTACACCTAAAACTCCTGTAATGTTAAATGTTAATTATCTCTCAATAAAAGTTACATAGGAGTTTAGGAATAGAAAACGTCTATAAACTGCAGGAGAAATATGTTTAATCTTTTCCTTAAGCAGGAAAGAAAACAAGAATAGATGATATAGTCTACCAATTTCTCGTACTTGACAAAACGTTAAGCTCTGCTTTGAAAACTAAAATAGATAAATGATCTCATTCTAGATTGGGAGAGCAGGATGTGACAAAACAGAGTAAGAGCGGGAAACCCCCTGACTTTCAAGTGCAAGTAAAAGTAATATCAGTTGTAGTTTTATACAAAATTCACAAAGTAACCCTTTAATGCTATATTAAGGTGCTTAAAATGAGAAAATCAGATTTGTTCTGAAAATATTCTATAGTATCTAAGCTGTGTAATTTAAATATACAATGTATATTTTATAAGAATGGAACACATTCTGTTCTTTTTACAAAAAGAAGATATAAATTTAACCATGACATCTAAGTGGCTATCAGTCATTCCTTTCTATCTGAGTTCTCCCGGCAATTCCCACTCCCCCTCCCTACTCCTGTCCTTACATTCTGAAGGTAAGAAAACACTCACGGGGTGATATTTCAACTTCTTCTTGGTATTCAGTTCTACCTCCCCCACTGCTAAGAGGCTGAGAATATTCCCCCCACTTTTTAAAAGATTTATTTTATTTATTTATGCATATAAGAACTGGGGTATAGGCCAGAGGTGTGTGTGTGTGGGGGGGGAGGGTGTGAGGATTCACCAGAGACAGTGGGGAGCAGAACAGGAAGACTGAGGGGAACAGAGGGTAAGGCAGGAGAGGACTGCTATGCCATGTGGGGATTAGCTCCCTGGCCAGGGAATAGCGTGATATGCTTAGACTTAACCCCTGCACCACCAGGGAGGCCCCAATGGTCAGAATATTCTAATATTCTGAAAACCCTTCCCTCCCCCCCTTTATATTATGGAGAAATTTTTGGAGGCAGAGAACTTTACATTAAAACTGTTTTTTAGTTTCCCAAAATATTATCAATGTCTATATCCATGGGCGATTTCTTTCTAATTAGTAAAAATGTCACCATGCATGAAAAGATAGATCCTTTCATTCATAAAGAAAATCCAGGGCCTCCCTGGTGGCCCAGGGGTTAACTGGCAATGGCCCACCTCGATGGCCTGTGTTCTATCCCCAGCCAGGGGGCTAACCCACATGGCACAGCAGATCTCTTCTGTCTCACTCACTGCTCCCCTCAGCAGTGTATTTCAGTAGATCTGCCTGTTCTGCTCCCCACTCTGTCTCTGGTGAATACTCTCACCCTCCACAACCACATCTCTGGCCTATACCCCAGTTCTTCTATGCAAAAATAAATAAAATCTTTAAAAAAAAAAAATCCAACTATGGCTCAATAAAGCACAAATATATGACACTATTTAAAAATTCAGGTAGAATTACATGCAGATGTTATGATTTATAAAATACAAATTTATTTTATTACTGAATTTCCTGAGACATTGCAACATGAGTTCTAACCCCAGCCAGAGAGCTGACTGACATTGCCCAGCAGACCTCTCCTATCTCACCTGCTGCTCCCCTCAGCAGTGTATTTCAGTAAAATCTGCTTGTTCTGATCCCCACTCTGTCTCTGGTGAATCTTCTCACCACCCTCCATACCTCTTGCTTGCACCGTAGTTCTTGTATATATAAATAATCTTCAAAGGAAAAAAAAAACCAATTGTGGTCTAGAAAAATATTTTGATGCTGAAAATACTAAATTAAAAAAAACTGGGGAATTACTGATATTAACTTACAGACTCCTTTTTTTTTTTTTTTTTAAAAAAAAGGATTTATTTATGCATACAAGAGCTGGGGCACAGGCCAGAGATGTGGGGGTGGGGGGGAGGGGAGAGAGGATCCACCAGAGACAGAACGGGGAGCAGAACAGGCAGACTGACTGAAATACACTGCTGAGGGGAGCAGTGGGTGAGTCAGGAGAGGTCTGCTATGCCATGTGAGTTTCTCCCTGGCCAGCCAGGGATTGAACTCGTGCTGCAGAGGCTATGGATTGCTTCATAGTGCGGTGCTTAACCCCTTGTGCCATCAGGGAGGCCCATTACAGACTCTTTATGGAGGAAATATTTTTAAAATCTGAAGTCTTAAATTTTCTTTTTTTAAAAAAGATTATTTATGCATATAAGAACTGTGTACAGGCCACAAGTGCAGGGGGTGAAAGGATTCACCAGAGACAGAGTGGGGAACAGAACAGGCAGACTGACTGCTGAGGGGAGCAGCGGGAGAGTGAGAAGAGGTCTGTTGCACCATGTGGGTAGCTCCCTGGCTGGGGATCAAACTCATGCTGCAGAGGCTGTGGACAGCTTCATAGTGCTGTGCTTAACCCCTTGTGCCACCAGGGAGGCCCTAAAATCTTAAGTCTTTAATTTTCTTCTGCCATCTGTACCATATTCAGTAACACTTTTTTTGATGTTCACAATAAGGAGTATCAACAGCAGGTGATTCTTCTTTACTCATCTTCAAACACAGTGTGATAATGTCATATATACATATATATATGTAAATATATGTATATATTTTAAAATATTTATTTATTTATGCATACAAGAGCTGGGGTGTAGACCAGAGGTGTGAGGGGTAAGAGGCTTCACCAGAAAAAGAGTAGGCAACAGAACAGGCAGATTGACTGAAATACACTGCTGAGGGAAGAAGCAGGCAAGAGAGGAGAGGTCTGCTGTGCCACGTGGGTTCGCTCCCTGGCCAGGGATCAGTGACTGAGGATAGCTCCATAGTGCTGAGACTTAAGCCCTTGCGCCATCAGGGAGGCCCCAGGTAATGTCATTTATATAGTCCATTGAGTACCATGGATTTTTGTATGTGGTAAGATAAAATACAATTCAGATCACTCACTCACCCCAGGAATTTATAAGCTAAAGTTTTAATCAGGTATACATAAAAACACTGCCCTACAAAAAAATCAACTGACCTAGCACAGAGCTCAACTAAGCCAAGGCTTTTGTTTTTTAACTGGAGTTTAATTATCACCATGCTTGACTTTTGAGATAATTTTTAGTAGTGGCAAGCTTGACTTTTGAGATAATTTTCAGTAGTGGCAACTTAAAAATCGAAATTACTTTGTTAACTCTACTATAAAATTCACAGTTAACATATATTAAAAGCATGATCCTGAGACACTTCTGCTTTTAATCTTCCATTTATTAAAGTTTTTTTAATTAAAAAATATTTATTGAATAACAAACCCACAAACTACTGAGATGGGAAAAGTAACTTCCTATCAGTGATTTATATAGAAGAGCTAATGCCATCTAGTGATAGAACAAAGTATTGCATTAAATAGAGCAGGGGGAAAAAACCCTGCAGTGTTCATTCACTTCACATTCTATTTCAGTTCCTACTTTGCATTTTACTGCACATCTACTAGTCAGGAAGCATTTTTTTTTTTTTTTCCATTATGCAACTCATGCCACCAGAGGTAAGTAAATTTCAACTATTATTACAAACTAAATTAAAAACAAATTTTTACGTAGTTACTCTGGTTAGGTTTTCACAATTACTTACATGTTTACAAAGCTACGATTAATATTTAAGCTTTATTGAACTACATTTTGCAACCACTAGAGAGGAAGCACTCATAAGTTGTAAGACTCAATGGCAAAGTTTGAATCTTTCCCGGCTTCTCTTCTAAAGTACCCGGAAGTTGTTAACTAGCAAAACGGACCAGTAAAACAATGGAAAAGTAAAAACTAAGTAATTTAGTAATCTAAAAATTACAGAATCTGGGCCTCCCCGGTGGCGCAGCGGTTGAGCGCTGGGTTGCGAAGCTGCGCGCGGCCTCTGCGGCGCCGGTTCGATCCCCGGCTGCTCCCCGGCCACCAGAGGAGGGTCCCACATGGCGCGCAGACCTCTCCTGCCGCCCGCTGCTCCCCTCAGCAGTGTACTTCGGTCCTTCTGCCTGCTCTGCTCCCCGCTCTGGCTCTGGTGAATTCTCTCGCCCTCCCGCGCTTCTGACTGTACCCAGTGCATGTATAAACAAAACAAACAAACAAACCAGCAAACAAATAAATAAAGCATGCCTCTATAAAAAAAAAAAAAAAAAAAAAAAAAAAAATAAAAATTACAGAATCTAAAAGCATGTTATTTCTAATAAAAACTATTTTATAAATTTGAAAAAAGAGATATGGGGGCCTCCCTGGTGGCACAAGAGGTTCATCACCCCACTATGAAGCAATCCCAAGCCTCTGGCACCGACCTCTCCCGACTCGTCTGCTGCTCCCCTCAGCAGTGTATTTCAGTCAGTCTGCCTTTTCTGTTCCCCACTCTGTCTTTGGTGAACCTTGTGACCCCCCACAACTCTGGCCGGTGCCCCAACTCTTGTATGCATAAATAAATAAATCTTTAAAAAAAAAAAAAAGTGATTTGGGACTCCCTGGTGGCGGAGGGGTTAAGGGTCAGCACTATCAATGATACAGCCTGTGCTCAATCCCCAGGCCAGGAAGCTAACCCACAAATGTCTAGGCAGACCTCTCCTGTCTTGCCTGCTGCTCCCACTCAGTGGTATATTTCAGTGGATCTGCCTGTTCTGCTCCCCACTCTGTCTCTGGTGAATCCTCTCACCCCCTGCATCTCTGGCCTACACCCCAGTTCTTCCATGCATAAATAAATAAATCTTTAAAAAATACAAAATATACGAAATTTAAAAAAGAGGTGAAAAAGGTGGGGAAATTCATTCTATAGTGACTGTGAACAGGTAAAGGGATGTGAATGAGCAAAAAACACTTCTAAAAAGAAAGATACTACAAAATGTTATAATCAATAACCAACCTTAAAGTCAAAACTGAAGATTTCAGGATTATCTTTTTATCTTAGGATGTACTTTACACTGACTGTGCCTTAGGTTGGGTCCCGTTGTTTTTTAATATCGCCTACATTCATTTTCTGATGTAGAACCATCACATGATTAAATGCACAGAAATTATCTCCGGAAATAGCAGTGTCATCTGTCATACACTGGGAATTTTTTCTAACAGAACCGGACAAAAGATAATTCTTTCTGCTTGTTTGTCCTGGCATATAATCCTGAATGTTTCCATTAAAAACAAAGATAGCAGAGTACCAGCTTATGACACCCCTAGTTTGAATATAAACTCTCATGCCCTTTTTGCCATTTGTACTACGGGATATATGTTTCTCAAGCATTCTAGCTTTACTATCAGAAGGTTAAATCCCAGTTAAATAAAGTATCATTTTTAAAGCATGGAATTAAATCCCTAATCTGCCTTTTTCTAGCTGAATGAATTTGGGCAAATTCTTTAGGAGTGTTTTTTTGTCTGGAAAGTAACACTGCAAGTCATTTATAACTTTGGAACAGGTTGCTAAGTCTAACAAATTTTCCCTATCTGGTTTTACAAAGTGTTATAAGGAGTAAAGATTATGTATGCTAAAGTATTTTTATTAGTCATATAAAATACTATACAGTAAATGCTGACTTCACTGATTATTTCCAGAAAAGACACTATTTGCTGGAGATAATGACTTCATCAATGACTTATAATCCATGCTGAGAAATCAGTGAAAGAAATGGAGAGCCAGGTCAAAGCAAAATTGAAGTTAAGAATCCCTAGAAGTTTACTCTTTCTTATAAAATTCCGAATGGCTATAAATAAGTTTTGGAAGATCCAAAATCTGTTTAGCAAAAAATGTCATACCCTTTAATAAAAATGATAGTCCAAAACATGTAGTTAAACTAGACAATTTCCCACTGAATGAAAACTACAATGTTTAACACACTGAAACATATAAATGAGACTGTACCCCTGTTGCTTAGGGAACTATAGGCTTGTGAACAAATACTCACATAAAAAGCTTTTAAGTGTTACCAACAGCATCAGCACAGGTACAGAGAAGCAACTAATTAGAGAGGAGGTACATCTGTAATTTCGTCTTCTTTAAGTTGGAATTTGAAGGATGAAGTTTGCCAGCCACAGAGGGAGGGAAGAACATTTCAGACTAAAATGCTGAAAGGCGTGAAAACATAAAATAGCCTGGTCTATTCATCCTGAATTTCAAGAACTTAAAGTGCTGGAAAGGGAGCCATGTGAAATGACGAGACAGGTATGGCCTGTCATAGAAGGCTCTCATCTATCCTGTTGGTGAAGGGCTCTAAGCAGGTGACAGAAAGTATACACTAGCTGCAGTGTGAAAGAATGGGGGGGGGGGGGAGGGAAGGAGGAGTAAGTGTGGAGGCAGAGATTACTGTGGTGCCTTATCATCCAAGTAAGAGAGGAAATTATATTATGAACAAGCCACCTATCCTGCACTACTCAATTAAATTCATTTGGTCACACTCATTTTAGTTCTAAAGCACAACTGCTTTAATATAAAATGAAGCCTTCATCACTTCACAACTGCAATTACAAGAAAGAATCCATAAATGAACACCTGCTAATAATAAAGTACCATAAATGACATATACTATTGGCTGATGATACCAATTTCACTTTGAAGTCTGAATCATTTCTGATCTTCTCTGCAACACAGCAAATGGCACTAGCTGAGCGATCAGAGACTCACTTTAAAGTCACATATATATACAACCTTTTCAAAAAACACAGCAAAAAGAATCCGAAGATCATTGCAACCACTTTGCTCACGAGATTTAATTCCCATTCACTAAATAATCTCTCTCCCTCCTCTTAAACCCATCACAGGGACGAGAAAGCACGACCACAGAAGTCTGCATCGCCTCACCTGATTCCACTGTCTCCTCCCCTTCCGGCAGAAGCCTAGCTTTCTTAGCATTTTGTGGGGCATCATCACCATTGTCCTCATATATGTTAGACCATTTTATTGCCATGTCCAGCTCTGGAGGTGGAGGTTTCTTCTCAGTAATGTAGGTCTCTGGCGGTGGTACATAGTTTGATTTCCATATTTTGAATTCCTTTGGCGGCTGTTAAGCAAACACATCAAGAAGCACTGTGACCAACCGAGGTGCCTATAATCGGTCTGGACACATGCACCTCCCTGCCGTTCGCTTATTGTGCAGGCCGACTTTTTCTTTTAGGTTTAAAGACACATCTTGCTCTCAAAAATCACAACACCGTTAAGCGAAAAGCCAAAAGGGTTCCCTGGACAATAAAGCTAATAACTTTTAGTTACCAAAGAAGAATCCAGTCTCAGAGATACTACGCCAAGGCTGACCCCTTCAGGAGGCTGCAGCAGACACTGTCTTGGAGGCAGCACCGCAGGCACTTCGGCGTCAAAGGGAAGGGGTCTCGGGGAGAAGCTGCAGCGGGGGGGCGGGGGAGTCACCACCGTTAGTCCTCGCCGCGCGGGGTCGGGGCACCGAGCGCCGAGGTTTGGGTCTCCTCACGAGGGGGCAGGGGCTTCGGGTCCGGTCTGACACCCACCAGGCTCGGGGGGGGGCCCGGGCTCCCCAGGGCTGGAGGTGGGAGGGGTGACGCGGCATCCCGCAGGGGGGTGACTGCGTGTGGGGGGCGGGCAGCCGGCCTCCAGCAGGGCGTTCCAGAGGAAGGGGGTGGAGACCCGGGCCAAGCTCGGGAAACGGGGTGGCGAACCTCACCTCCTCCGGGGCCTTGACGACGTGCCTGTCCCAGTCTATCTGCTTGTTGAGCGGGTTGTAGAGAAAGGCCGGGCGCGTCACGCTCCGGAACAGCTCGTCGGGTCCCGGCAGCCGTTTTTCCGCCTTGTTCCCACAGCCGCCCGCCGACTTCGCCGGATTCGGGGCCCTGCAGCTCGTTTCCTCTGGCTCGCTGTTGTCCTCCTCTTCCGAGGAGCCTGAGCTGCTGCTTCCGTACGCTGCGAAATAGCTCAGGGGGTCCTTCTCCTCGGCGGCCATGACGGCGGCGCGCAGAGACCGAGGCTGCTGCCGGAAACCGGAAGCTGCTCCAGGGCCCGCCCCGCGGTTGGCCCCGCCCCATAGCGCAGATGGGTTGGAGGCCTGCGCCACCTAGCGGCGGCGCTGCGCAACTGCTCCCCTACGGAGAGGAAATTGGAGGTCTGGCACAGCCCCGAAGCAGGGATTTCTTTAGTACTAATTTCTTGGGAACCCTGAGAAGAGAGGAGGTCCTGAGCCAGTGGTTACAACCAACCTTTCATCAGTCAGTAAGAATTTTTTTTTAAATCTTTATTTTTTTTAAAGATTTATTTATTTATGCATACAAGAGCTGGGGTACAGGCCAGAGATGAGGGGTGGGGGGTTGAGAGGATTCACCAGAGACAGAGTGGGGAACAGAACAGGCAGACTGACTGAAATACACTGCTAAGGGGAGCAGCGGGAGAGACAGGAGAGCGCCATGTGGGTTGCTCCCTGGCCAGCCAGGGATCGAAGTCGTGCTACAGAGGCCTCAGACTGCTTCATAGTGAGGTGCTTAACCACTTGCACCACCAGGAAGGACCTAATAAGAATTTTTTTTAAAGATTTATTTATTTAGGCATCCAAGAACTGGGGTACAGGCCAGAGATGTGGAGGGGGTGGTGGTGAGAGGATTCACCAGAGATAGAGCAGGGAACAGAACAGGCAGGCAGTGAAATACACTGCTGAGGGGAGCAGCAGGCAAGCCAGGAGAGGTCTGCCTCGCCATGTGGGTTGCTCCCTGGCTGGCCAGGGATCGAACTCATACTGCAGAGATTGAGGATTGCTTCATAGTGAGGTGCTTAACCCCTTGCACCACCAGGGTGGCCCCCCAATAAGAATTTTTAAAGGGCTAAAAATCTTGTCTCTTAACGGCCACTCCACTTTAGCCCTCATCCAGAGAGACTAGTATTTCATTCTGATCCCACTGCAATTTCTCTTCCAAATAAAAATTACTTTCAGTGTGCTTCCCTCTGTCTCCTGGAAAACCTCTACTGGTAGTTGTCTCAAGTTACAAACTAAATCCTCTCCTGCCTGCCCTCATTCCAGCACACTCTCAACAACCTCTCTTTGATGACATCTCTTGGATTGTACCTCATCACTACCAGGTCCTCCAGACTTTCAGCCTCCTCCTGTGCCCGTCTTTAGTCTGTATGACTCTTAAACGTTGTTTCCCATCATGTCACACCATCTTTCAGCAATACTTAGAATATTTCGTAGACACCATTAGACAGTTTCAAGTCAGCTCACCCCTTTCTACAGACATTAACTCCTTTATGCTTGTGACACCCAAATCTGGGTCTCCAGCAACTTCAACCTTTCTACCCGCGCCCCCACTCCCATATAACATTTCTGTTTTTGTGTTTCCCTTTCTTATTAAATGACATAACCATTTTCCTAAGTCACCAGGGAAACTAGAAATATTTGACTCTTCCTGCTGAACTAAGCAAGAATGATACCCAAACGAAAGTGACAAAATTGTTCAGTAAAAAGTTGTTACCACCTACTTAAGGGATGCCTGCCCAATCAGATGATGTGCTTACTTACAAGAGCTGGGTACAGGCTGGAGATGGGGGGGTGGGGTTGAGAGGATTCACCAGAGACAAGAGTGGGGAACAGAACAGGCAGACTGACTGAAATACACTGCTAAGGGGAGCAACGGGCGAGACAGGAGAGGTCTGCCTCTCCTGTCAACCTCACCATGTGGTTTGCACCCTGGCCAGCCGGGGATCGAACTCATGCTGCAGAGATATGTATGTCTTCCTGTTGGAGATGGGAGTGGGGGGAGCAGAGATATATATGTCTGTCTTGTTCAGTCTTCTTTCTCAGCCTGGTAGCACAAAGTCTATGAGTTCCTTGAGGGGAGGCACTAGACTAGGCATTGTTTATATTTATAATCCCTAGTACTCAGCTCAATGCCTGTCACAGAGCAGGTCATCAATAAATATTTTTGGATTGTGATTTCTAAGGGTGTAAGTCTAGATAGTGTTCTCAAAATTTTCCATCAAGTACCTATTTGGCATTAGAAAAGGATGGTCCCCATATGCAAAGTTTGGGAGTCACCAAAACCATCCTCATTTTTGACACCAATTGTAGGTTTGGGGATTCCCCAAACCACTCTCAGGTTTGATAATTTGTACTTGGTCACATGGAGGATGTTGGTGGCTTTGATGTTGGAAGGACTCACAGAATTCACTGAAAGATGTTTAACTGGTGGTTATGGCTTATTATAGCACAAGAACAGAGATTTAAAATCAGCCAAGACTAAGCGGCCCAGGAGGCTTCCACGTGCAGAGCTCTTGGTTGTCCTCTCAGTTTAGAGTTATAGACAGTACTGACTTTCTGTGGCAACTACATGGGACAATATGCCAAATGGAGTATAGCTGATTGGGAAGGCTCACCCAAGTCCAGGTGTCCAGAGTTTTTACTGGGGCTCAGTCACATAGACATAGTTGATTGCTCTCATGGCTCACCTCAGTCTCCAGCCCTTCCAGAGGTCAAGCTGATATAATGTGGCCCAAAGTCCTGCAAGCACATATTCTTTAAAATACAGTATAAGGGCCTCCCTGGTGGCACAAGGGGTTAAGCACCACACTATGAAGCAATTTGCGGCCTCTGCAGCACGAGCTCGATCCCCAGCCGGCCAGGGAGTAACCCACATGGCATAGCAGACCTCTCCTGTCTCGCCTACTGCTCCCCTCAGCAGTGTATTTCACTCAATCTGCCTGTTCTGTTCCCCACTCTGTCTTTGGTGAATCCTCTCACCCCACCACAACTCTGACCTGTACTCCAGCTGTTGCATGCATAAATAAATAAATCTTTAAAAAAAACACTAAATAAAATACAGTTTAAGGGCCTCCCTGGTGGCCCAGGTGTCAAGTCTCAGCACCGAGATGGCCCAAGTTGGATCCCTGGCCAGTGAGTAGACCCGCATGGCCCAGCAGACCTCTCCTGTCTCGCTCGCTGCTCCCCTTAGTAGTGTATTTCAGTGGATCCGCCTGTTCTGCTCCCCACTCTGTCTCTGGTGAATCCTCTCAAGTGCTGCTCCTCTGACCTACACTCCAGTTCTTCTATGCAAAAATAAGTAAAATAGGGCCTCCCTGGTGGCGCAGCGGTTGAGCGCTGGGCTGCGAAGCTGCCCGCAGCCTCTGCAGCGTCGGTTTGATCCCCGGCCACCAGCGAGGGTCCCACTTGGCGCGCAGACCTCTCCTACCACCCACTGCTCCCCTCAGCAGTGTACTTGGTCTGTCTGCCTGTTCTGCTCCCTGCTCTGGCTCTGGTGAATTCTCTTACCCTCCTGTGCTTCTGACTGTACCCAGTGCTTGTATAAATAAATAATTTTTTTTTTAAAAAAAAGTAAAATAAAAATCTTACAATAAAGGATAATTCTAAATAAATTAATTAAATACAGTTTAATATCTTGAAAATGTATGCAGGTTTGATATACTAGTCTCTAGTATAGCTTTTAACATATAAAAAAAATTAAAATTACTTATTTAGTAAAACCAACACTCTAAGATAACTATATTTATTCTGTGGCTTTAAAAACTGGGCCACTCAGTGCCTCTGGGGTTGGGATATCCAGTTTAAGTAACATGAGTCAAAGCTACCAACATCCTTCATCTGACCAAGTTCAAGAGCCACTTATTTGACCTTTTAACAAGATACGCCTTCTTGAAACATTTTTTTTTTCTTTCACTAGATCATGCACTTTAGTTCTCTTCCTATTTCACAGGGCTCTTTTCAGTTTCCGCTGTTGCCTTCTTCTCTGTCTCACCTCCACATATGATTGCACCTCAGATTTAGTATTAGATTTTCTATTTTTTTTCTACCAACCATCCATCTAAAGTGATTTCATTAAGTCCTGTGGCTTTAAATACCATTTTAGGGCGCCGGTTCGATCCCCGGCTGCTCCCCGGCCACGGGAGGAGGGTCCCACATGGCGCGCAGACCTCTCCTGCTGCCCGCTGCTCCCCTCAGCAGTGTACTTCGGTCCTGCTCCCTGCTCTGGCTCTGGTGAATTCTCTCACCCTCCCGCGCTTCTGACTGTACCCAGTGCTTGTATAAACAAACAAATAAATAAAGCACACCTCTATAAAATATATATATAAAAAAATACCATTTTATGCTAATTAACACCCACATTTATATAACCTGTTTAGAAGTCTTCCCTGAATGCTGAACTCCTTTATCCAATTTCAATGTATAAGAAGATACTCAAATATAACACATTGTCTTACACTTGGTAGATACCAAGATGGCTGCCAGCTTTCCTGCCGTTCCTGGGCATTCTTTCCCTTCCTTCAGTCAAGAGGTAGAGTCTTTTTCCTCTTCCTTTGACTCTGGGTTGGCCTTGTGACTGATTTGATGAATAGAATGCTTCCACTTTTGTTCTCTTGGGAGTCCTGAGCAACCATGTTGGAGATACCCTGCCAGAGATAGCATCCCCTGCTGGAGATAGCATGAATAGATAAGGAGCCCCAACCAACTCCCAGCGACTGCAGTCATGCCTAGGAAGGCAGCAGGCATGTAGGTAGAGTCATGCAGCCCCAGTTGAACCTTTAGAAGAGTCTAGGGATGACCCCAGGATAAACCATCAGAAGAACCATGAAGCTAACAAGTCCAATCCAGTTTGCAGAATCATGAGTCACTAAGCTTTGAGGTGGTATATAACAGCAATAAATAAATGTCAAATACACCCAGAATTGAACTCTTCATTCTCTACTCTTAGCACACCACATTTCCCACAGTCTTTGCCATCTCTAAGTTACACCATTTTTTTTTTTTAGATTTATTTATGCATACAAGAGGTAGGGTGTAGACCAGAGGTGCGGGAGTGGGAGGACAGGCAGGGGAGTAAGAGGATTCACCCCACCAGAGAGTGGGGAGCAGAACAGGCAAATCTACTGAAATACACTGCTGAGGGGAGCAGCAGGTGAGACAGGTGAGGTCTGCTGTGCCAATTGGGTTGCTCCCTGACGCACCGGGGATTGAATTCATGCTGCAGTGGCTGGCGATAGCTTGATAGTACTGTGTCTTTAACCCCCTGTGCCACCAGGAGGCCCTAAGTTACACTATTATTAATCCAGGTGCTCAGTATAAAAGTCAGCTTGTTATTTCAAACTTAAAAAAAAAAATTCAAATCCACAAATACTTTATACTAATTCTATCTTCACTACCCTTATCATTTGCTCAGGCAATTGAGGTGTTTTCTTTCTTTCTTTCAGTTTTCTTAACACTGAATGATCTTTAAATCAGTTCAGATTCAGGGCCTCCCTGGTGCCTAGAGGTTAGTCTTAGCATCTCAGTGCTATTACCATTAAGGCCTGAGTTCCATCTCCTGCCAGGGAGAACACCCACATATGGCGCAGCAGACCTCTCCTGTCTCGCCCACTGCTCCCATCAGCAGTGTATTTCAATCAATCCACCTGTTCTGTTCCCCACTATGTCTCTGGTGAATCCTCTCACCCCTCACACCTCTGGCCTACACCCCAGCTCTATGCAAAAATAAGTAAGTTCAGATTCATGTATTCTATTCTGTGTTCACGTCTCGTCTCTTTCAACTTAGAATGGTTTCTTAGTATTTAACTTTCGTGACGTTCACATTTTAGATTGTTGGCCAATTATTTACTCTTGAAGATGCCTCATTTTTGAGGTTGACTGATGTTTCCTATTATTTTAGTTCAGGTTATGATACTTTGGCAGGAATATCTTAGAAGTGGTGTGTTCCTGACCTTCCTGGTGGCTCAGGGGTTAGGCTCAACGCTATCACTGCCACCGCCTTAGTTTGATTCCCAGGGAGCTAACCCGCATGGAGCTAATGCTCCTGTCTTGACCGCTGCTCCCCTCAATAGCGTGTTTCAGTAGATCTGCCTGTTCTGCTCCCCACTCTGTCTATAGTGAATACGTTCACCCCCCCGTACCTCTGGCCTACATCCTACTTCTTGTATACATAAAAATAAATCTTTAAAATAAATTAAAAAAAGAAGTGGTGTGTTCCCATTGCAACCTATCAGGAAGCATGTGATTTCAATTTGCTCCTGGTATTGATAATTTGAACTTTGATTTTTTTATTTAAGGTGGTATCTGCCAGATTTCCCTTCTATAAATTTACCTTTTTGCTCCTTTGTAATTAATGTGTTTTGTAGGGAGTTACTTTTAGTCTTTGTAAATATTATATATTTCAACAAATTACTTATTTATATTAGTAACTCATTTTCTATTTAGCAATGAGTCATTATTTATTACTTTCATTTGTACTTTCATTTTATTATTTCATTTTCATTTATTTACTAACCAAAGGATTGAGCTTAATGAAACCAACACTTTGACATAGTTGCATGTAAAATATTTGTGATAAAGATAATTGATTTCAGTAATGATGATAACAGTAATAATAAAACGCAGTGTGGAGATTTGTTCCTTCAATTGAGCTTGTTCATCCTTGAAGCTAATTCCTGTCCAAAATGATATGGAACTTTTATTCTATTTCTTCAGAGCCCCAAATACAGGTGACATTGTTCATGGTACATTTTACCACTAATTCCTCATCTTCCCATTTTCTTCTTCTTCTGCTTTCCTTCTCATCCCATTCTTGATGTTGGACAAAAGAACCATTTGTAAAGTTGCAATTTTTTTTTCTCTGCCCAAAACTCTGCTGTAATTTCTTCAAACTTCTCTCCCAAATTACATGAAAACTGTTTCAAAGTGCTCTCGGTTTTTACCGTGAGGTGTTTGCCAGAAACACGGATGACACAATCTGATTTGGTCATTGCATCCATTTCTCACAGAGCCATTCCAACACCTAGTTCTTTCATGTAGTCAGCAAAGTCATTGCTGCTCATCAAATGCCATATTCCTGCTGCTGAAGGGTGGCTGTGATGGTCACGGCAGGTCGTGTGGAGCCAGCAGGGCACAGTTCGGCGTGGTGGAGTGGCATTATTATTATTTTGATGTTGAAATTATCCCAGCTGTGGTCTGCAAAAGCCTTCAAACTGGTTTCTGTGCAGTCTGAACATCCTCCCATCATTCTTTGAGCACTTCCTTTCCGGCACAAGATATTCTACACTAGTGCTCTTATGATTTAGGTTATAGTTCACATGTTACCTGCTCTGAAGACTCCCCTGAGAGTGCTATCAAGACTCTTTTCTCAAGTTACTTTTTAGCTCACCCATGCCTTATATTGTACTCACAGAATCTTGAATTATCTGGATTTATTTTCTAATTTTCTCCTCCATCTAGAATGTGTTCTAGAAAATATACTGTCTTATTTGTTATTGTATCTCCAACATCTAGAATAAGTATAATCAATAATTATTGAACTTAAGAGTGGGGGGGGAACCCATAATTACCACCAACTTTATGCCACTTATGAAATGCCAATAAGTGAGCTTGAAATTGTGGAAAGAACATTGATTTTTGAGTCAGACACCACCAGATTTCAATTCTAAAAAGCTGTATGATTTTGTGCCATTTATCTTGAATTTATTACTCATCTATAAAAACAAGTGGCAAAAAAACCTACCTTGCAGGGTTATTAGGATTAAAAGCAAGACCACACATGTGGAAACCAAGCACAGTATTTGGCATCCAATAAGGCAGTGGCTTCCAGGTATTGTTGCACACTGGAATTACTTGGAAATCTTAATAAACTTTGATGTCTGGTTTCCACACCCAAACATTCTGATTTAATTGCTGTGGGTGCAACCTGGGCATTGGGATCTTTAAAAGCTCTCCAAGTGATTCTAAAAGGAACAGCAGTTGGGAACCACTGAAATAAAGGACAATTTGTCTGATAATTTAATAGCATGGCAAAATCAGAGTATTTTAGGAGTTGCACTTAAGTTATTAAGTATTGTCTGTGCTTAAATTCATTTTTCTTTCAGAAGGTCCCCCCTTAAAAATTACAGATTGATTTGCTTCATGGCTTGATTTTCTCCACCCGCCCCCAACTAAATAGTGAACATATTTATTTAGTTATAAAAGATCAGACTACAGTCTGAAATTTCCTGTTCCCTTTTCTATTACTTAGGTAAAGATAGGAGTGCTAAGAATTGATTTCGACTTTATACCACACACAAAAATTACTTTGTAATGGATTACAGAGCTGTGAAATTAAAATAAGTTTCCAGAAGAAAACACAGTATACTGTCATCATGACATTGGGCTAGGCAAAGATTTCTAAACAGGCGACAAAAATCACTAACCACAAAAAAAAAGATTGATAATCTGGACTTAATTAAAATAAAAAGCTGCTTATCAGTGAAGAGTAACGTTTCAACTGCCAATTAATCAACCTAGTAACTAGTTGCACTGTGTCACTCATTCTGTTATTACAATTCATACATTTTTGACAATGCCTGTTTTCAGTGTGTGAAGGAAAAAAACTGACTTATAGGATTCAGAAAACTTGAAAGGCCAAGTTTGTTAAAATCTTAATTTCATTATCTATGTAGTTAGCCAACAATCTGAAAGAAATCTCTGTAATAAACTACAAAAAAAGGTGCTATTGTATATTTAAATTATGAGCTTCGATTCTGAGTAATTCCTGTTTAGTTTTTTTTAAGTAACCACACATCAATTAAATGTATACTGAATGAAATATAAAGTCTGTTTCTGTTTTTAAAGTGATTTCTTTAATGCAATGCCATTCTTATGGTATGCTAGAGGGAAAACATGTTTCTCCATAATGCTTAAAAAATGTACTATAAGTTATCCAATCTTTAAAAAAAATTTTAAAAACAATATACCAACTTTCTTCGTGATTGATAAATTCATCAGGCTATTCAGAAATCTTAATATCACAACTTGAAGTAATATTTTCTATAAAAATTGGTACATAAATACCAAGTATTTCAGATATTTATTTACTGTTGGTAGTTGAAGCTTCCAAAACAGCCCTAAGATTTAAAAACTTCTATTACTAATAGCACATTTCCATCTCTGCTTTTCGTAAGTAATGGGAATACATGTGACATAGATGCTATAAAATGGGTAGAATAATTTAAATAAAAACAATGAGAACATAAATTTATAAATGAGGAAAATTAGTCAAATTTTGTTATGTATCAAAAAGACAAATCTAGCTAATGGCCCACTTAGCCCAAATATTATTGAAAACAGAATTATCATACATACACACACAAACTTTTCCCCCAGTTATTTCAACTGTGCTGTGGTCCTTATTATTAAAAGATAATAAAAAATACAGAGATGTATTTTTAAAAATCTCATCAAATTACATGTAATAACTGAGGTTTCTGCCAAGAGTTTACTTTAGGAATGAAAGTGATATAACACTGAAAATTTTAGAAGGTAGTATTAATTAGCAGGGTTAATAAGTTGAGATCTTGGGTGGCTTAAGCTCCATTGGATACTCTCCGCACTGGAAGGGGACTCTGTTAAATACCTGAAAGCCCAACTGAGTGGGAAAGAAACTCTTCTCAGTACATTGACCACTTCCCTACCAGTGACTGGTTTTACTACTAAATAAACAGCTTAGTTCTGAAAATTTACTGCCAAATGATGGGAAATGACTATAAATCTGTGGAAACATCTAGCACAAACACACTGAGAATAAACATTATTCCCAGCCCAAGAGTCTTATTCTCAAATAGAGATGTGGTCCCCATTAAAATTAGTCTTAGAACATAAAAATTTGAAAACACTGAAATACATCAAAAATGAAAAACAAAATAGAAATACTGAAAAGCACATGATTTTAGCTACCTAAAACTATGCTTCTTTTATTCTAAAAAATTCTATTTACAAAATGTGCTTACACTGTATTTTAAGACATGTACGAAATGTTAATAAATCATTATAGCAATTTTATAAAAAGATTTATACCTTTTCAAATGTTTTTTGTCATTATAAAAAATACCTAAAAGGCAACAAACTGTCATTGTGGCAAAAGAGGACGTCGTGATCTTAAGGGCAGAAAGATCTCGCTAGAGTTTCCACAAGTTCCTTCTTCTTCTAACTGTAGGTCTGGTGGCAAAGGAGGAGCCCCAGGGTCCCCAGGTCTAGGAAGTGTAGTTGAAGAGAAGGTGGGATTTTCAGTTCTGCCTGTTTCTAGAATAGGCAAATTCAGAGAAGAATGAGTAGAAAAAAAGGGGGCTGTGCTGGATTCTCCTTCTGGATGGTATATAACACTGGACGCTCTCAGCTTTTCAGGGAAAGTACTCTCATCTGAATTTGATCTAGAGAGGTGGTTTGTGGCTCCATCTGGAAAAGGTTCACAGCTGCTATATTTCTGTCCTACAATAAAATTATTCAGATGTCAATAAAAAACCAAAATATAAAAACCACCTTGAGTCTATGTCCATATTTGTAACTTTTTAAAGATTATAACCATAATTTAAACAGTAATTGATAAATTCTGGCCTAATTCATTTGCTTTTCCCAATAATCATGAAGTATTCTACTATTTACATTTTCTAGATAAGGAAATAGTCTCAAGGAAGATAAATGATCTAATTCACATTTAATTTGTACACTTATATACTTAACCCTTGAAGATCAGAGGAAAAAAATGAAAAGTACCCCCTAGAAATTTTCATTAAATAATAGCTTTCATAACTAATAAATATCCTACAGCATCTCATACAAAAAAAAAAATTATCCAATAAAAAACAAAATTTAAACAGGGCATATGTTAAAATTCTACCAGCTAATTCCTGCCAATTGTTAATTCTTGATTCACAGGTGTTACAAGTGGAAGGAATTTTAGATCTGGGATAGTCTCCACTATTACAGAAAAGAGAGGCACAGTAGGGTTAAGTAATGCCCCACATTGCAGGACTACTTCATGAGAAAGTAAGAACTAGAACCCAGGACTCCTTTTCACAATAATGTCCTGTTTTTTAATCTAACAGGCAACTCACTTAAATAACAATGGTTGTTCTGATCAAAGAATTTTATCATACCCAAAAGTTACCACCAATAATCAGCCTCAAGTAGAAAAAACACAAACACCATTTTTCTGCTGGGTTTAGAAACTATTTAACCTGAACGTCTACAGGTACAGAATTTTCTGGGTTGACATATTTTATGTAAAACATAGCAAGTGTATAATGTATATTTATATGTCATTTTCCCCACTAGTTTTTGAACTTCACAATACATTCGGCATTTCAGTCCCATGCTATAGGAACTATTTCCTTAAATACACCGCAGGAGGGGAAACTTCTAATGAGTTCCAGCATGGTCTTATAGACTGCAAGTTCCTTTAATTTCTCATTTTGTATCCTCAGTGCTTACATCAGCTGGAGTAGTGCTGTATCATATTCAACTTTATCGTAAATGTTCTGGAGAGAGAGACATAGACAGGGATTCAGAGGAAGGGGGAATTCAAATTGTGCAGGCAATTCTAGATAGCACTGCAAAAGTGGGTGTGTCCTCTGGGGTGAGGGTGAAATGAGAGAGGTGAATTTGCTATTCCCTAGTCAACCTTGGTTCCCAAGCCTCCCTTGTCAAAACTGAGCATGATTCTAGTGTTAAAGGTTACATGTATTTTATACAACTTAATTCCTATAAATTTAAGTCAATTACTTCATTTTATGATCAGTTGGTGTGAGAAAAATTACCAGTGTCGGAACTGCAAAAATGCTTTGCTTACATACTGTCTTTTATAAGTGACATGCATTTCCAGGAGTTGCTTTTGGAGACATTAATTTTACATTCTGCTGAGTTTAGAAACCACAAACCCCATGTGTATACTGGAATTTCATTATAGGTAAGCTTTTTATAAATGGTATTGTTAAGAGAACAGAAATACAATATAGTGGTGGCCTAAATACAATATATCCCTGGTGGGCTAAGGGTTAAGTCTCAGCACTATTACCACTATGGCCTAAGTTCGATTCCCCAGCCAGGAAACTAACCTACATATTGCACAGCAGACTTCCCCTGTCTTGCCCTCAGTACATTTCAGTAAATCCACCTGTTCTGCTCCCCACTCTGTCTCTGGTGAATTCTCTCTCTCGTCTGGCCTACACCCAGTTCTTCTACATTAAAAAAAAGAAACACAATATATTGAGTAATGTTTCACTTTTTCAAAGTAATAAAGGTAAAAAAATGCAAATTGAATGTTATTTTGAAACCTAAATTTTCTGAATTAAAGGAAAATGATCATTTTGGGGTTTTTGTTTCACTCTGCATTTTTCTTTTAAAAACGTTACCTTTACATGAACTTTTGCATTTCTAAGATATCTTACCTTTCAAAAGTTCTAGTTTTATATTTCTGAGTTTCAGTACTTCATCTGTAATCTTCTGTATCAGGAAGTTCTGTGTTTTCTCTCGTCGAATGGATTCAACCAGGGTATCAAGTCCTTTGGGGTTTTCTTGTAAGTAGTCTAACAATTTTCCAGCCCTTTTTCGACTTGATGTTCGGCAAGAAATTTCTTCAGTGTCTTCTCTACTTAGAATTTTTTTTGCACGTAAATGATCAAAATGTCTCTCAGCTATGATTTTTTCACACAGGTACACACGCAAATTTTCTAAAGCCTAAAAGACATAAAATATGCTTCAATGTTATTTTTTAAGCACCTAAGGAAATCACGTAGGCAACTGATTATCAGAAATCTTTTTTTAAATAAAGATTTAATTTTATTTATTTATGCATACAAGAACTGGGGTCTAGGTCAAGGTGGGGCGGAAGTGAGAGGATTCACCAGAGACAAAGTAGGGAGCAGAACAGGCAGATCTACTGAAATACATTGCTGAGGGGAGCAGCGGGCGAGGCAGGAGAAGTCTGCTGTGCCATGTGGGATAGCTCCCAGGCCGGGGATTATTGACTCATGCTGCAGTGGCTGGCAATAGCTCGACAGTGCTGAGACTTAACCTCTACACCAGAGGTGTGAGAAAATGTTTTGAAGTTAGGAGACCCAGATCTACTAAAAGGCATGCTAATTAAGATGAGGGTCCAAGTAGACAGAAATAGGTCCCAAACTAGACATTCCTCACAGCTTATCTTGCTCTGATCTCATCTGCAAATCTATAAATTAAGACTATACTATTGTGAGGAAGGGCCAGTTGAATCTAGAGGGTCTGGCTCTGTGAACATAGGCAGGTGTGCTGAGGCCACATGCAGGGGTGAAGATGAGACGACAGACAACCACACACTTTATTTTTTTATTTTTATTTTTTTAAAGATTTATGTATTTATGCATATAAGAGCTGGTGTACAGGCCAAAGATGTGGGGGGTTAGAGGATTCACCAGTGACAGAGATGGAAACAGAACAGGCAGACTGACTGAAATACACTGCTGAGGGGAGCAGCGGGGAGACAGGAGAGGTCTGCTGCACCATGTGGGTTGCTCCCTGGCCGGCCGGGGATTGAACTTGTGCTGCAGAGGCTGCGGATTGCTTCATAGTGCGGTGCTTAACCTGGTGTGCCACCAGGGAGGCCCAACCACACATTTTAGTCACCATTCATTAAGGAATCCAGGAACAGAACAGTTAGGACAGGAAGGATAACTTAGTTTATAATTAGTTTGAGCCAGAGACATGAAGGTGAGCAGCGGGGAAATAGCAAGAATAGGTAGCTGGAATGCAGGGTGCAAATGAGAGGGTGGTAAGGAATAAAGCTGGCAATGAAAATGGGCTGGAGCATAGAAGAATTTTTATAATAATCTGAGAAACACACATTTCCCTGTAGCGAAAAGAGTAATCAAAGGTTTGTAAATAAGAAGCGATATGAAAACCTTTGCAGATGACTAGAGAGAGCAAATATGGTTCAAAAACCAGTTAGAAGATTGCTACTATATCTTAAATAGACTTGCTGAATGTATGAATTTAAGCTGTGGGGATGGAGAGAGAGAAGACTGAATTTAAAAGATTAACTTGAAAAACCTCATCTGTTATCATTTCTACCACCTATATGCTGATGATTCCTGAATTTGCTTACTGGTGCTTATGTGATGCATCTAGACATCCCAAAAGTACTTCAAATTCAAACTGTCCAAAACCCAACTTGTTATTTTCTCCTATCTGTCCCTCTCATATGTGAGGTCATTTAGAGTACTATTATCCATCCAACCATGCTATAAATCCACAACTCATCCCAACTTTTCATTTTATTCACTAGCAACATCTATTCACCCACCCGCCAAGTCCTGCCAATCTACCCTTTGTATATATCGAATCTGCCCTTTCACTTCATCTGTTATTAGCATTGCCCTAGTTCAGGGTCCTATAACAAGACAGGGTACTATATCTATTAACAAGACACGTAGGTATGCTTCCTTCTTGTCTCCTCCCCTTCATGTATCAACTAGATCTTCCAATTTTTCAAGAGAAAACTGAAAGTTATATAAATTCTACTAATATTAAAATGTCAGTTTAATTTCATAAAAATTTGAAACACTGCTTTCTAATCCTGACTTAAAGAATAATGTTTCTGAATCCTGGAAGAATCGTGGACTCACAACAACCTCAGTTCAAATCTTGAATCTCAAGCCAACTACATACTTCTGTAAAGCTGGGGTCAGTTACTTAACCTCTCTACACTTCAGGTTCTTTCTCTTTCCTCACACTTACTGTAATTTTTTTTTTTTTAAATAGAGGCATGTTTTATTTATTTATTTATTCGTTTGTTCGTTTTTGTTTGTACATGCACTGGGTACAATCAGAAGCGCGGGAGGGTGAGAGAATTCGCCAGAGCCAGAGCGGGGAGCAGAGCAGGCAGAAGGACCGAAGTACACTGCTGAGGGGAGCAGCGGGCGGCAGGAGAGGTCTGCGCGCCATGTGGGACCCTCCTCCGGTGGCCTGGGAGCAGCCGGGGATCGAACCGGCGCCGCAGAGATGCGGGCAGCTTCGCAACCCAGTGCTCAACCGCTGCACCACCGGGGAGGCCCACTTACTGTAATTTTTAATTATACATTTGTTTTAACTCTAAGGACCTATATATATGTTTTTAAGATTTATTTATTTATTCATACAAGAACTGGGGTACAGGCCAGAGGTGTGGGGAGCTAAAGAATTCGCTAGAGACAGAGCGGGGAGCAGAACAGGCAGACTGAGTGAAATACACTGCTGAGGGGAGCAGCGGGTGAGACAGGAAAAGTCTGCTGCGCCATGTGGGTTGCTCCCTGGCTGGTGGGAGAATTGAACTCATGCTGCAGTGGCTGCGGATAGCTTCATAGGTTGCGTCTTACCCCTTGCACCACCAGGGAGGCCCCTAAGGACCCATAGTTTTGAAGCAAGGAAGAATCAACACTGCCTATCCTGCCAAGGGTGCCAAATAGATAATGTTTGGGTGAAAGTAAACTTCATTGCACTTTTTCTGTGATTTATAATTATCATTTTAGTCTGTCTCCCTCTCCCCCAAGAAATCAAGCTCTTTTTAAACTAGAATTGTCTTACTTTTAAATATTTAAACAGTCAGACTTTATCTACTATAGTATCAGCCTCACAACAGCTTATAACCCAGATTGATAAAATACCAATTCAGCAATTCAACCAAAAAGATGAGGACGATGAGGAAGAAGTGAGGAAGAGGAAGGCAGTGAGGAAGAGGCAGTATCCAGGAGGATGGGTGGTGGTATATTATTCTTTTTTTTTCTTTAAAGATTTATTTATTCATGCATACAAGAACCAGGGTACAGGCCAGATGTGTGGGAGGGTGAGAGGATTCACCAGAAACAGAGCAGGGAACAGAACAGGCAGATCTACTGAAATACACTGCTGAGGGGAGCAGCAGGCGTGACAGAGGTCTGCTGCGCCATGTGGGTATCTTCCCAACAGACCAGGATCAAACCAGTGCCACAGAGGCTGAGGACACCTTCACAGCACTGCGCTCAACCGCCTGTGCCACCAGGGAGGCCCGGATATATTATTCTTCAAAGCAAGAGAATATAGTTGGAACAGCCAACAGCTTTGGGGGTAGGATAATAATAATAATTAAAAAAAAGTACTTTACACAAAGAAATGTGCAGGATTTCTAAAAGTGAATTTCAATAGATATCTATAAATAAGCATTTAGAGTTGCAAAAGAAGGAAGTCCAAATAGGTGGATAATTTTTTTTAAATTATTTTATTTTATTATTATTTTTAAAAGATTTATTTATTTATTTATGCAAGCACCGGGTACAGTCAGAGGTGCGGGAGGGTGAGAGAGTTCACCGGAGCCAGAGCGGAGAGTAGAACAGGCAGAGTGACGAAGTACATTGCTCAGGGGAGCAGCAGGCGGCAGGTGAGGTCTGCGCACCATGTGGGACCCTCGCCTGGTGGGCGGGGATCCAACCCAGCGGCCTGGGATCGAACAGGAACTGCAGAGGCTGCGGGCAGCTTCGCAACCCAGCGCTCCACCGCTGCGCCACCGGGGAGGCCCAGGTGGATAATTTTAAGACGTCTAAGGTCATAAACCATTTTATTAAAATTATTAAAATTATCATTAAAATATTAATATTAATAGTAATGATATATTAATTTTAATATATCATTAAAATTATTTTTCGAAGGAAAAAATGTACACATACAATTTATTCACAGACCTCTTAAAACCCATGCATTATTCCCTAAGGCTATGAATTTCTGCTATGGTTGAGAATTGAACTTTATAGAGATGGTAGTACCAATGATATTATCTATCTAAGAGAAAAAAAATAAAGGCCTGGAAGTCATGCTTCGCATCTGTATTTGCATACAGGTTTTATATCCTCCCACTTAACCTTACAGGGTTTCAGTTTGTAGTTTTTACATTGTATCATATGTAAAATGGGAATGACATTTATCTGCCTCAGGAGTTGTAAAGATTAACCAGGTACATGTAAATTGTGTGGGACACAACACCTATAATTCAGCAGGCCTACCTCTTGAAGTTCCTAATTTTACTGGCACAAATCTTGAATAAGACAACACTCATTTGTTCTATAGTAGTTATCAGTGTCCTATTGTTATCTCAAATAGAATGTAAAGCAGGGGCCTGAATGTCATTTTTTTGTATCTTTCCAGACCCAGTAACAGTACTTTGCACGTAGTGCTCCATAAACATCTGCAGGAGGAAACTAAGGCACTGTTCTAGTCAGACCTGGTATCCTCCTGCTAATGAGTCATTCAACTGTAATTATGAGTTCAGTGTAATGAAAGTTGCAGGGGAGGGGAAAGAAGGTACTTGATTAAATAAATTAAAAAACTTGCTGCCCTGGGTAGTTCACATTGTATAGGTACTGCAGTGTAAAGCCAGAATCCACTTTATATTGAGTTTGTTTTCAAGTTGAGTTAATATAAAGTGCTTTAGTGGTACTCATATAGATCCTCTATGGCAAAATAAGTAACTAAAAGCAAATGAAAAAGAGACACAAGTATTACTTCAACAAAGTCATTCTTTACAAATTATTAAGATGTGTGAGTTCTGCAGCATCCAAGCTGAAGAGCAGAATTTGGCTACTGAATATTTTCAACGTGAACCTGTAAATTAATTCTCTTCTACAAATACTCACCCCACCCCCCACCCAAATTTAAATATGTGGGCGTTTGCTTACTAGGGGAATTCCAGACCGTGCTTTCAGCTGTAGAGCTTCCCCCAACCCCTTTTTCAAGTTTCGCATATTGCTCCACTGCCTGGGATCCTTTATGTGCCCCAGACAGCAGCCTAGACAGTTTGACTTAAGGATGAACCTGAGTCTTGGATCCCTAACAACCCAGTTGCAAGGTTGGGGTGGCGGGGAGGATCAACAGGGGGCCAAGGTGAAGTGGTCAAGAGCTGACTGCGAAGCAACGGTCCACCGAGAAGGTTTCGGAGAAGTCATGCATTCAGTGATTTAAAACGTGCATTCACCGGTCACCGGGGGTTCACCTCCAGCAAGGTCTCTCGGATGCAGGGCTCGTCCCGGTCCTGCGCGGCCTGGACCTTCTGCTTCTCCGAACCGCAGGCTCCTCCTCCGCATCGGACTCGGACTGCGGTTTCCGCTCTCCTCGCCCGCGAGGTGGCCGCCCGCTCCCGCCCGCCCCCGGCCCTCGGCGGCGCCTGGGCAAGGTTGTGCTACTCACGTCCTTCTTCACTTCGGTCAGGTCCTCCTCGGTAAGGGACGGCGCGGTGGGCTCCATGGCGGAGGCGGGAGATGGCGCCTCTTCCGGGTCCGGAGCTCTGGCTGCCCGTCCCGCCCGAGCTGGGGGCTCCGGCCGCTGGGTGAGGGGCTGAGAAAGACCGGCCGGGAGGAAGGGGCCAGTCCCTTCGAGAACAGAGGGACGCGGGGGCCAGTCCGTGACTCTTCCGGCTCCGTCTCTGGGGCCGACGGCGCAGCAGATCGACGCCACCGGTGCGGAGCTCCGAGCCCTGATCCGATCCTTCCCTGTCCCGATGGCTCAAGAGGGGCGGGGCCACTAGCAGGGCCCACCCCGTCTCCCTGAGGCAGCCAATCGGCGGCAGCTTGCGGGCAAAGCCTGGCCCCGCCCCTCGCCCAGAACCATTCATGAATGGCTCCGCCCACAGACTCCGCCCACAGACTCCGCCCACAGGCTCCACAGGTCGTTTGCATGTCGCAGCGGGTGGGTGGGACCCGGCTCTACTCTGCTAGTGGGCGCTCCCCGCCTCGCTTCCTCCGCAGGCTGCTTGCAGGTGGAGTCGGCCTTGGGCTGTCGGTGGCTTTCGGTCCCTCCCATTTTCCCAAACCCTGCCCTACGATTTCCTGTTGCTGTGTTGGCCCAGTCAAGTTTTTTAATTATTTGATCACGCACTGATACGCGAGTATGCAAACACACACTGATACTATTAAAGATATTTTTGAAAGAGAAAAAGAAACTGTACAATCTCACCCCTTTAACAACTTAATTTAACCTTTGCTTACACTTTGGTTACTATTTATAAAGAGTTCCTTATTTAGTCATCAATGCAATGAAGATGTCTGCTTTAAAGGGCTTTTGTGAGAATTAAGTGATATAATTAAGGGATTGTGGTTGGCACATAATATGCACTCAGTTTATTATTTATCATTTTGTATTATACATTTACTGGGTCCTTTCTGATTAATTCTAGGCATCTCATATTGTTAGAGTTGTCCTATTTTATCGATGAGGGGGGAGTTGTTGAACAGACAACTATTTCTAGAATGGCATTCTAACTACTGATAGAGGTGTATATAAAACAAAATTAAAGAAAAAAAAAAAAACGGAGTTGTGTGGATGAGCAGCTCAAAACAGAGCCCTGGACTCAGGACCTTTCTCTGAACAACATGCTAAAAAAACTAGATATACACTGGACAGTATTTGAAGATAGTGTAGCGTAGATATAAGTGACAAGAGGACCAAAGATAAATTTGTTAACTCCAATATCCAAGGGAAAGGAAAGCAAAAGAACCAGAAAAAACAATGTTGCCAAAGATACACCAACACTGTTAGAGCACAACACAGGGACTCTGCTTTTAACATTAACATTATGTCAGGTATGTCTTTTTCCATGCTGATACACAGTACAACTTTTCTGATTGCTTAATTTTCCCTCCTCTTGGTATAACCCAATTTACTTAACCATTTGTTCTTTCACTTTACAAGTATTTATTGTATGTCAGCTATGTGCCAGACACTGCTCTAGGTGCTGGGGAAACACCTAGGCAGGTAAAAATCCCTTTCCTCCTGGAGTTCAAATTATAGGTTATATATATTTGGGATAGGGCAGAAGGACATTTGAGAAGTGTTATTGAATTATTTGTTGTTAAAAGTTAAGTGCTAAGAGAGGATATAAAACAGGAAAGTAGGAAGAACCTATATACCATGATAAAATTGAAAATAGGGTGGTTAAGAAGATCTTAATGTGGAGGAGGGAATTAACAGTTAAGGAAGTGAGGGAACTAGCCCCATGGACATGTGGAGGAAGAACATAGACAAAGGCCATGAAAAGAATCCAGTGTGCCAGGGAAAGCCATGAGATCCTTGTGTGCCACTGTACAGGTTTACCCTGACTTTGCTTTGAGTCATGCGGGCTTACTCTGAGTCAGACGGGAAGCCACTGGAGGGTTCTAGGCAGAGGAGTATCATGATCCGATTTACGATTTGGAAAGGACTACTTTCACTGTTGCACTGAGGGGAGGAAGTGGAAGAGACAAGACCAATTTGGGAACCATTGCCATAATCCAGGCCCCAGGAGGTGGTAGCTCAGACCAGGGTTGGTAGCAGTTAGGGTGGTGAGAACATTTTATTTTATTTTTTTAAAAAAAGATTTATTTTATTTATGCATACAAGAACTGGGGCATAAGCCAGAGGGGTTTGTGTGGGGGGCGGTTTGGGGGGGTGAGAGGATTCACCAGAGAGAGTGGGGAGCAGAACAGGCAGATCTACTGAAATACACTGCTGAGGGAAGCAGCGGGCAAATCAGGAGAGGTCTGCTGCGCCATGTGAGGTGCTCCCTGGCGGGCATCGAACTCATGCTGCAGAGGCTTCGGATTGTTCCATAGTGTGGTGCTTAACCCCTTGCTCCACCAGTGAGAACATTTTAAAGAGAAGCAGAGACGCGCTATTATTTCCTCTTGAAAGGATCACTTAGTCTCCTGAGTAGAGAGTAGGAGGTAGGTGAGAAAGTAGAAAAAGAGCGACCAGCAGAGGTTACCACAGGGATCCTGGCAAAGATGAGGATGGTGACCATAGTGGGATCCATGGTGAGCCCTGATCCATGGTTACCCGAAAGTAATCCCAATTTTTCACTGTTATAAAAAATTGACCCTCAAGTTTCCAATTACATATCCTTTTATTCTTTTGAATAATCCTTTTTGCATAAATTCCCAGGAGCAGGATTACAAAGCCCAAGGAAATGCATGTTTTCTGTCTCTCTCTATATATTTTCACAGGTTGTCTCTGAAGTATTGGTTCACCTGTGTGTGAGAGTGAACCTTTTCCCCACAACCTTCCTAGCTCTGCTGATAAGGAAGGGGATTCAGCAGCATGCCAATGCCACACACCAGGGCAGATACTGCTTGTATGAGGTTGGCGTTCTACCCTTATTCTCTTTTATTTATTTATTTATTTTAATATCTTGCTCATGATGGATTTCTTATTCTGCATTAACTTTGGCTTTTATTTATTTATTTTTAAAGATTTATTTATTTATTTATACAAGCACTGGGTACAGTCAGAAGCGTGGGAGGGTGAGAGAATTCACCAGAGCCAGAGCAGGGAGCAGAACAGGCAGAAGGACCTAAGTACACTGCTGAGGGGAGCAGCGGGTGGCAGGAGAGGTCTGCGTGCCATGTGGGACCTGCACCCTGTGGCCGGGGATTGAACTGGTGCTGTGGAGGCTGCGGGCAGCTTCGCAACCCAGCGCTCAACTGCTGCGCCACTGGGGAGGCCCTTATTTTATTTTTTAAGATTTATTTATTTATGTATACAAGAGCTGGGTACAGGCCAGAGGTGTGGGGGGTGAGAGGCTCACCAGAGACAGAGTGGGGAAGAGAACAGGCAGATTGAAGTACACTGCTGAGGGGAGCAGCGGGCGAATCAGGAGAGGTCTGCTGTGCCATGTGGGTTGCTCCCTGGCAGGCCGGGGATTGGACTTGTGCTGCATTGGTTGAGGATAGCTTCATAGGTTGTGTCTTAACCCCTTGTGCCACGAGGGAGGCCCCCTCATTCTCTGTTACATAAAACATTTCAAACACACCAAACTACAAAGAACAGTATTACAAATGCCCTGTGTTTGTTACCAAGATTTAACAAATATTTTCCCACATTTGCTTCTGCTTTGGCTTTTGATCCCCAAAGGTGGGTGATGCCAGACTTCTCTGACTGATGACCTCACTGTCCATTTGACTCTCTTTCCTTATTCATTTATCTAACTAAAAAGTGAAGTGTCTTCTATGTATCAACTATGGGATGAACATCAAGGGTTGGGTGGGATTGAGGGAGGAGTTTAGGAAATGTTTTTAATGCTGAAAGTTTGATATTTAGTTTTTGAGACCATATTTCAATGCTCCCAAGTCACATAACCCGTGTCAAAGCAGTCACATATGAATTGTGTCTGACCACAGGCCTTGAAGCTCCTAATCCTGCTCTTTCCCCCTAGTGTATCATGCTTCCTTCATAGGCAAATTTATTTTCCTGTCTCCACTTAATCATAGGATCTGGTTGGCCATATTTTCAAGAAAATAGACCTGTTCATTCTCTACCTTGTGCTAATTCTACTTCCTCCATCCCTACTTCTACTTTTAGATGTACCACTTACTGTGAAATACAAGACATCTGATAAAGGTACTGTGAAGAATACAGGTTAGGTACTGCAGTTATAGGATAGCATATTATAGTAGTTAAGAATGAAGCTGTTTGGGGGCCTCTCTGGTGGCTCAAGGGGTTAAGTCTCAGCACTATGACGCTATCAGCAGCCATTGCAGCATGAGTTAGATTCCAGGGCAGGGAGCTACCCACATGGCACAGCAGACCTCTCCTGACTCGTCCGCTGCTCCCCTCAGCAGTGTATTTCACTAGATCTGCCTGTTCTGCTCCCGATTCTGTCTCTGGTGAATCCTCCCACCCCCACAACTCTGGCCTGCACCCCAGTTCTTGTATGTATAAATAAATAAAAAAGATCTCTAAAAAAAGAATGAAGCTGTTTGGCATTTGAGAAACCCAGGCTGGTGTATTCATTTTTCTTAGGCTACCGTAAGAAATTTCCACAAACTAGGTGGCTCAACAGAAATGTACTGTTTCATTGCTCTGGAGGGTAGAAATCAAGAATTGTCAGGGCCATGCTTCTTCATTCTAGCTGAAGAATCTTTCCTTGCCTCATCCTCTGTGGTTGCTGGCAATCCTTTGCATTCCTTGATTAGGGCAGTATAACGCTATTCTCTGCCTCCATCTTTACGGGGACTTCTTTGTTTTCCTCGATGTCTCTTTCTCTAAATTTCCTTCTTCTTTGGAGGGAGTTAATCATTGAATTTAAGGTCCATTCTAAGCCAATATGACCTTATCTTGACTACATCTGTAAACACATTATTTGCAAATGTCACATTCTGAGATCTCAGTGGACATGAGTTTTGGGAAGACACTGTTGCAATTAGTGTAGTTGGAGTCTAGATTTGTCAATTATTAATGATGACCTGGGACCAATTAATAAGTCTTTGTTAAAGATAGCTGTCATAAGCATGCAGAGGGAAGGAAGATGTAACCGTTTTTCTGACTCAGAAGTCAAGATGAAAGAGGTGAATTTCAACTAGGCAGGAGAATTTTTAATAAATGGAGCTTCAACTTCAGTTTAATGATTTATTCCAAAACTTCCTTAGATTCAGGGTATCATGTTGAACAGTGAATACTATTCAAGTGATTGTGAATTATAAATTCCCTGTAACTAGCTGAAGGAAAAAAAAAAAAATGCCAGTTGTG